TCGCTTGCAATTCCTTTGCCCTTCAACATATTGGTGTTATCCGGAGAAAATAATTTTTGATTTATCAATTGCACCGAATATGAGACTCGTCGGAGTCACATTGGGCGTTTCAATATGTTATCACTAGAAAATTCGTCGATTACGGTCTACTAGATTTGGGCATGTTGGGATCGACATACATTCGGTTCTTCGGTCTATTTAAGAAAGTTTCCGGGCTAATCTCATAATGAATATTAAATCTAATTGCAGTGGAAATTAATTACAGGGAAGAAATATATATGGAAGTGAAGAAAAACAATATGAGAAAGTAAAGAACGGAGAGACTATTCTGAATTGGATCTGGAAATTTGAACTAACAAGAACTTAAGATAAAAAAAACTAGGTAAATTCTGAAAATAAACAAAAAGAAAAAAAATACAAGAAAAGAAAAACTAAATTATTGTATTGTTCAGATATGATCTCTCTTTTCTAAAATCTTAGCTCCCTCCCTCCTTAAATAGAAACCAATTCTTATTCATTTCTCCACCTCCTCCATTATCTAAATTGGGTGTCTTGCGGAACTAGCCGTAAAATTTCGGGGGGGAGGGAGGGGTATCATTTTCTTTTTATTGATTCAGTGTCATAGTTTTTAATTTTCAAGCACAACCGGATATAGAAAATTGAAAAAAAAAATGAACAAAGATTAAATATTTAAAGAAAAATTCAATAAAACTACATAAAATTTAATATTTTTTACTAAAACAAAAAAATAAATAAATAAAAATAGAAGTGCAAATAAAAAAAATTACCAAAAAATATACTTCCCCCGTCCACTTTGAAAGTTTACATTTGATTTTTGCATGTTGATATTTGAATATTGATTATTATATCAAAATGTAGTACTCTCTCTGTCCTATATTTATATATACATTTGCTTTTTGCACGGAGTTTTAGAAATATTAGTATTATATTAGGATAAAGTAGAAATAAAGGTAAAAAGACTAAATTAACCCTATTAGTATTGTATGATATAAAGGTAATGGCATTTGTGTAATATATTGTAAATTGGAAGGGTATTTGTAATGTCAGGTAGATAATACAATTACTAAAAAAGAAAATGGATATTATGTTATGGGACGGACCAAAATGGAAAAATGGATAGATTGTTAAGGGACGGATGGAGTACAAATTAAGGAAAAAAGGAAAAAAAATACTTTTATTACTGTTTTATAATACTAATAAAAGAACGTTTATACAAAAATTTATACAAATGTATGGATATTTTTAATGTTAAGTACAATAATACAAAAGATAAATATAAACTTATTAAGTGGATGGGGGAAGTATTATTTTTTACACAAAAAAAAAAAAAAAAAACTTAAAAGAAAAGGGGGCAAGCAATCCAAAATACATAATTTTATTAATTTTACACTAAAAAAAATACTTTTATTTTGGGGACTGCGTGTCAGCTGCCCCTAAGTCCCCTACTACATCCGTCCCTGTGTTCTCTTATCCAAATCAGGTTGGTTGATCCTTATCCTTTGGGCTGGATTTGAGTTATTTGGACTGGCCATCTAATCCTCAAAATTGGACTGCTAATGACTTTCGGAGGCCCAAGTATGACACCTTGATCCGCAAGCCACGCAAAGTCGGGCGTCGGGATTGTAGACTGGTCCCACAGGTCAACATGAGTCTTTCCAGCGCACTTCTGCCCTGCACGCACCCTGTGAGACTTTCTAGGGGGTCATTCATTCTCAAATTACTATAGAACAAACACGATTAAATCTAGAGTTCTTTCAGTAGGATTTACGAAAAAAAATGCATATTGTTGACATGAGTAGTCTATTCAATTCATTTAATATCTATTCAACCTCAGATAGACTGGCACCGGCTCATCCACGAGAGTTGGCCTAGCACTGGTCCAACTCCGGGAATATTACACCAAGAACATTTGGGAGTAACAAAAACAAAAGACAAAATTGTTCATAATTCCCCGGTAATTTCGAAACTAAGTGTAAATCTCTTATATAATTTAAAAATTGCATGAAATCCCCCTCATACATTAAAAAATATTGCATAACATCTCCCACCATGCAAAAAATGTAAATAAGAAATCAACTTTTCATCACACAAAAAATATAAAAAGAAGTTCCATGCAATATTTTTTAAAGTATAACATGGCGCTATACAATTTTTAAAGTACATAATAGATTTAAACTGAGTTTCAAAACCACGGAGAGACAATTTTGCCAAAACAAAAAGGAAAATATGTTGAATACATGAAGTTTGGGCTTGTTACTTCTATCTTTATATTATTATGGTAAATTATATAACACCCTTTTGTCTTTTAATAAAAATTCACAAAACACCTCATATATTATTTATCGTGTGAAACCCTATGTTGTATTAAAATTTGCACAAAACATCTCTTTATTTAAAATTGATATATGGTTATAAATATGGACCTAAATTATACAAATTTTATATAAATAAAAAAAAGATGTTAATTAATATTTTTTTGAATAAAATAAATAAATAATTAATTAATTTATTAATCCTTCATTTTTATAATTTTTTGTAAGAATCAGATAAAAGTTAGTTTTAAAAAAATTATAAAATAAATGATTAATCAATTATTTATTTATTTAAAAAAGACTATTTAATATATTTACCTATTTTATTTCTGTAAAAGGTTATATAATTATATTCGTTTTTAAAGTAAAATATCAGTTTTGGACGAATGGACTTTAATATAATATAAGGTTTTACGCAATAAATAAAATATGAAGTATTTTGTGCATGTTTATTAAAAGACAATGGAGTGTTATATAATTTGCCCTATTTAATTATTCAATTTATTATATAAAAAAATTGTATAAAACACTCGGGGTGTGATTGTTTTGTGAAAATAGTTTGAAGATATATTTTTATATGAGATAAAAAATTGTGTAGGAAATATAAAAATAATGAATATGTGTAATATATTAATATTTTTAAAAAGATATAGGAAAAAAAAAAACAAACCCTAATATTTTCAAAATAATAATAATAAAATAAAATAACAAACTCCGATCATTTTATTTGAATTGTCTTACTAAAAGCGTCCTTTCTTGATACTGCGCCTTTAATGTAATTGGACGGACAAACGACAAACACGTATTAGTAGAACACCTTAAAGGTGCTTTGCTTAAATTTTAAGTTGACCAAAATAGCTTACTTCTTTAGAGCAAATGCTGACTTTTATGGAATACAAGTGTCACATTTGGATAATAATTAAATTTTATTTAGAATAAATTAAAACATATTTAAATTATATTATAGTAAAAAAAATCTTATGTCAATTAAGTTCAATCAGCATCATTCTATGGACAGTTAGTTAGCTCTTTCATATTAATTAGTGCCCCATTAGTTGGTGTAGTAATTTATGGCTACGTGGCCTATTCAATTATGTGTGACTCACTTATCAACATATATATATGTAATTAAATTATTGAATTAATAAATCAATCAAATTATATATAGAGAAAGATATGTTGAAATTATTTGCATGCATGGGATGATAATATTGTTAATACATGTGTATCTGATTCAATTTATTATAGATCTTTTTTTTTCTTTAATTTTAAATAGAAAAAGTGGTTAAAAGAATAGAAAAAGTGGTATGATTTTTTATTAAAAATGAACCAAGTATATATATATATATATATTTATGATAGACAAATAAAAAACCGAGCTTATATATATATATATATAACAAAATGAAAGCAATATTTTATATTAAATTATTAATTTTTGTGAATTGATAAAATACGTTTACTATGTCCTAATTCAAAGTATATTTTATATTTTCACATGTCCTACTCAAAAGCACTCTTTTCTTTTTTAGTAAAATTAATTTACACTAGTACTAAAATATTATTAACTTTTATTTAAATTATAAATATATCATTACAAGTACAATTATTTTATACAAAAGGACAAATATCAAAATTTTTTACCCATTTTCATTAACCAATAAAATACTATTATTTCTTAATTTATTACAAAACGTACAAAACAAATATATTATATATATTGTATTAATAAATGTATATATATATATATATATGATACTCCCTCCGTAAGGATAGCGTTTAAATACCCCTATTAGTATGGTGTAATATAAAAGTAATGACATTTGTGTAATATATTGTAAGTTGAAAAGGTATTTATTATGTGAAGTAGGTAGTACAATTACTAAATTATAAAATGATAACCTTATTTAGGGACTGACGAAAATGAAAAATGATAACATTTCAATGAGATAGATGAAGGTGGAGTGTTTTTCTATAATACTTATAAAATAACCGTAGTACCAAAGATATATAAATAATAATAATAATCAAACCTATCATATATGATTCACTCTAAAAGTCGTTTTGTCGTTTCCTAGTTTCTCCACACATATAGAGTATATATATATCTCAATTCCCACGTACACGTGTGAGTCTACATGTATAATCCATGCATGCAAACCCATGCAAATTCATTTCTCATCCTCCCCTATTCAAAAAATATATATAATAAGAAAACAAGATCTAAAAATATTACCTTCAAAATATATTTTCAATTAAAAATATTAATACTAATGCGGATTAATTAATTAATAAATTAAAGTCAGTACATATAATTATATATTTGTAACACACACACACACAGACAGTTGGTTCGTTGTATGATCATGTCTTAATAACACCTCCAACAGTAAACCACATTTGTAGGTACTCTAAAAGAAGTGTCTCTTCTGCTCTTAAATTCGATCCCCGCCATTAATGGCTACAGCTGTGATCAATGTGGATATCACTCTCCTCGTCTTCAAGATTAATCAACAACATATAATATCCAATATAAATATATATGTATATATATATATATAATTGTTCCTCTTTCTCCTTGATGAATTGAATTCCTATCTCCAGTCTCCCTCACATAATTTTGTATGCAACTAACTGCAAACCATTTAGAATTTGGACCCCATCTCATTTAATTCCCATCTTCAATTTCTTCTCACCCACCAATCCTAGCTATCTCCAAATTCATCAACACAATATTATATTTGAAAATCAGAATCAAAACTTGCCCTTAATGATCCCTACAAACTTCCCACTGTAAGAGGGCTTCGGATTTTGACCCACTCTGTTTCAGGTAACTGAAAATCCCAAGTACCCCTCTCTCTCTCTCACTCTCTCTCTCTCTCTCTCTGCATATATACATATATTTGTATCTATATATATGTATATGTATGTGTATGTGTAATTTGTGTTGTACTTGTACAGTGATTGTTGAACTATAAAAGGGAAGAAATTAGTTATTAGGGCTTAAAGAGGGGGGGAGAGAGCCAAAGCCAAAGCCATTATTGCTTTATCATAGTTGCGTCGTCTGCTGCAAACTCCGATCGATCTGGGAAATGGAGATAGAGGTTGCCGGCGGCGGTGGCGGAGGAGGAGGAGCAAATGAAAGCAGCTCCGACGGAGATCTGGAGACAGGGCGGCCGAGAAATGGCGGCGGCGGAGCGGCCTACTTGGTTTGGGAGGACTTGACGGTGGTACTGCCCAACTTCGGTCAGGGCCCGACCCGGAAGCTGCTCCATGGGTTGAATGGGTATGCCGAGCCGGGTCGGGTATTGGCCATTATGGGCCCTTCTGGTTCTGGCAAATCCACTCTTCTTGATGCCTTGGCAGGTCTCTCTCTCTGTCTCTCTCTCTAAATGAACTTTCATTATCTTGAAATTATTTCAAATTAGAGGAAAGTAGTTAAGTTAATTTATTCGATGATTTGAGTTCGTGTAGATTTAAGGATTAAATTGATTAAGGATCTTTTCTCGATTTTTTTTCCAAACTCACATGAAGGTTAAAGCTACCATTCGACGTCCGTGATTAATCCATAAAATAAAGACAACTTTAGAGCTGTGTAAGAAAAGTAAAATGGTTGAATTAATTGTCTAAAAATAAGTGGTTGGAATCAGGACAGGGACACTGAAGTTAATGAAGAAAAAAATCAATTTTTTTTTTTTTGCATCATTTGCAATCCATGTCTGATTCCAATCTCCAGATCGAACGTTTGATGACATCAATTTGTTGCGGTTGTCTTTTTGTGCTTATTTTTCGATCATCTGTCGAAATATTTCCGAAAGACAAGTTTCAGGCAATACAATGCTCTGTGCCATGAATCAGAATGCTAAACTCTTCTTTCTATCCTTCACTATATCACCGCAGGTAGATTGTCGAGAAACATTGTCATGTCCGGAAACATTCTTCTCAACGGGAAGAAGCGGCGGCTAGACTATGGCGTCGTTGTAAGTACCTTACCACATTGGTGCTCGAACCAAATTATCAATCTTCAAAGCCTATGTTCTAAAAGTTCAAGTGAAATAGTTGTTGGATACTCTTGAGATATTTTAGATAGTAAGTTTTAAATTTAGTAGATTTAGATTTATATTTGGTCTTATAGACTACTTAGATTTGAATTTATCGAGTCAGTATATCTATATATATATAGAGTACGCTTTTCATTTTTTATTATCAATATAATGCAATTTTCCCGTTTTCATAATTTATTTTCACAGACACGATATTTTATCTTATCGATGTAGGCATATGTCACGCAAGAGGACGTGCTATTGGGGACACTCACCGTTCGAGAGGCTATAACATACTCTGCTCATTTGAGGCTGCCGTCATCGATGGCTAAGGAAGAAGTGAAAGGAATTGTGGAGGGAACAATCACGGAAATGGGGCTTCAAGACTGCGCCGATCACCAGATCGGGAATTGGCAGATGAGAGGCATAAGTGGCGGGGAGAAGAAACGGTTAAGCATAGCTCTCGAGATTCTCATTAGGCCTCAGCTGCTGTTTCTCGACGAACCTACGAGTGGCCTCGACAGTGCAGCCGCCTTTTTCGTGATCCAATCGATTAAGAATCTTGCTCGGGACGGAAGAACTGTCGTCTCCTCGATCCATCAGCCTAGCAGCGAAGTCTTCGCGCTCTTTGATGATCTTTATCTACTGTCGGGAGGCGAAACTGTTTACTTCGGTCAAGCTAAAATGGCAACGAAGGTAGCTAGTTTGTTTCATCTTGTTTAGTTCAATAGTTTTCTTACATGAGCTGATTTATTCGATCTTTTCTTTTAGTTTTTCGCTGAGGCCGGATTCCCCTGTCCGAGCAGGAGAAATCCTTCGGATCATTTTCTGCGCTGCGTTAACTCGGACTTCGACGTCGTGACAGCCACGCTGAGAGGCTCACAAAGACTCCGTGTATGAGTTTTATTCGATTGTTTTTGTCGTCGAAACCTTTTCGTTTCTTTCGAGTGCAAACGAGTGATCGTTTCTAGTTTTTCCAGGCAACGGAAAGATCGAGAGATCCTCTGATGAACTTGGCTACAGAGGATATCAAGTCAATTCTTGTCGAGAAGTATAAGGGATCGATGTATGCGCGAAATGTGCGATCAAGGATGCAAGAGATCTCCATTGTCGTAAGTAATCCCGTATCAAACTTCTCCAATTTTCAATTATCTTGTCGACACTGGCGACGTGCTTGTGTTATGCAGCGAGGGTTGGAGATCGAATCGATCAAAGGAAGCCACGCCAGTTGGCAGAAGCAGCTTTTGACATTGACGGAAAGATCGTTCTTGAATATGTGTCGAGACGTCGGGTACTACTGGTCCCGAATAGTCATTTATATCATCGTCGCCATCTGCGTCGGAACGCTATTCTACGACGTCGGCACCAGCTATACTGCGATTTTGGCGAGAGGAGCTTGCGGCGGGTTCGTAACGGGTTTCATGACATTCATGTCGATCGGAGGATTTCCATCGTTCATCGAAGAAATGAAGGTAAAAAACCAACACGATTTCATCGTCAAAGATCGAAAACTTACGAGTGAGCACTCACCGATTTCCTCTTCGACAGGTCTTTTACAAAGAAAGGCTCAACGGCTATTACGGCGTCGCGGTGTTCATACTGTCGAACTTCCTCTCTTCCTTCCCGTTCTTGGTCGCCGTCTCTGTAATGACCGGGACAATCACATTCTACATGGTAAAGTTCCGGTCAGGATTCTCGCATTACATCTTCTTTTGCCTCAATATCTTCGGATGCATTGCAATGGTCGAGAGCGTTATGATGATCGTAGCTTCGCTAGTACCGAATTTCTTGATGGGAATCATCGCCGGCGCCGGTGTTCTTGTAAGTCATATCATTCTCGCATCTTTGCGCGCGCGCATTAGCTCATCGACGCGTTGTATGTTTTCAGGGAATCATGATGATGACGGCTGGATTCTTTCGGTTGCTCCCCGATCTTCCCAAACCGTTTTGGCGATACCCGATTTCATTCATCGGATACGGCGCGTGGTCGTTGCAGGTACTGTCGATATCTATTAGATGCTCGTAGAGATTTACGGTAGCTTAAACTCGTAGAAACTAATGAGACAACCTACCTAAGGCTCAGATTATTCGAACTTCAGTCGAACATAATATCTTCTGCTAACACAATGAGAATGCAGGGAGGATACAAGAATGACTTGCTTGGACTCGAATTCGAACCTTTGTTCGGTGGTAACGAAAAAATAAGTGGCGAGTATGTCTTAACGAGGATGTTTGGGATATCGTTGGATCATTCGAAATGGTGGGATTTATTCGCCGTATACGTTCTTATAATAGCTTACAGATTCGTGTTCTTCCTCGTTCTCAAGTTAAAGGAGAGGATCACTCCGTATTTTCACTCGTTTTTCGCCAAGCAAACTCTTTATCGCCTTAAAAGGCGCCCTTCGTTCCGAAAGTCACCCCATCCTTCCAAGAGGCACCATAATGTTCGGTCTCTCTCGTCGCAAGAGGGTCTTAACTCTCCGCTCCCTTAGGAACTTTAGGACTATACGTTATATGCGATATATATATATACCCTGTTCTAGTACATTATGTCTTAACACGACTAATATATGAATCGATACCAGAAGGAAAGAAAAAGAGAAAGAATCTTGTTGTGGTATGTTCATAGGCAGATGAAAATGTGTAATCGATTCGATGCATGTATGACTGAAGAAGGGGATGGTTCTCTTTCTTCGGAATCTGTGGTCCTTCGTTTTCGTATAGCTTCTCTTCTCGTATATTCTTTGATTGATAGAAATAATACGTCTTGTTTTAGTAGCTGTCATGTCGAGCCTTGAATCCGTAAAATATGTGAATCGCGAATGCATGTCCATTTGTTTCGAGTGAATTGTCCTAAAAAAGTTTGATTTCGAATGCTATAAGATCGACCGTTGTTATTAAAGTCGCTGTTTATCCTTTCTCGTATGTCCTGTTTTTACTATTGTGCTGCTTTGTGTGCATTTTTGCGTATTTTGTAGACATCCTTTGTTTACGGCTGTTTTGTTCGATCCGCTGTCTGTTTATGAACAACCTAAGAATGGATAAAGGAATTCATTGATACAACATATATGTAGCAGAAAGACTGAGTTTTGAGTTTCGAACAAAAGATTTAGTCGATTCTCTATTCGATCATATCATATATATACTGGCGATGGATTGAGAAAAAAGTTTCGATGATCTTAGGACAGAGCATATGTAGGATCGAATTACATAGCCTCGTATTCATTGAATAATTCTCTATTCATGGCGACAACACAACAAATGTCGTATTAGTTGAAATTATGTGTTACTTAGATATATTCTATGTACTGAAATCAACGATAGCAAATGCTGTGTAGACAATTATCATGTGCTGAATTTATATTATATTCATTAAATAATGTACTGTATACACGTTTGTTATATAATATGTTGTCAGTATTACTATTCTCAATATCTTAATTCAGCACAGTAACTGCCGCTGACTAGTTTACATCGAGACAACTAAGTGTCATTTAATTTGTGGACCTGCGGATGGCTTAGTTTTGTCATATGTTTCAAAAGCTATGTCCTGACGACGTCGTTATCTCTATGGCATTTCAGGGGGCCTACAAGAACGACATGATCGGGCTGGTGTTCGACCCTTTGATCCCGGGAACTCCGAAGCTGAAAGGGGAAGACATAGTGCAGAACATGTTCGGAATAGCGTTGGATCATTCCAAGTGGTGGGACTTGTTCGCCGTATACGCTCTCATCATATGCTACCGTCTTGTCTTTCTCGTCATCCTCAAGCTTCGAGAGCGGATGGCGCCGGTTTTCCAATCGCTCTACGCGACGAGAGCGCTGCAACGCTTCAAGACACGGCCTTCATTCCAGAGGAAGCCGTCTCAGTCCAAGTTGGGTGGTTCTAGAAGGTACAAAAACCTCCAACCCCTCTCGGCTCAAGAAGGGTTGAACTCGCCGGTACCGTGAGCGGAGCCGAGCTCAGCTGAGCTGGAGCAGCCATGGCTGTTCTACTGAAATTGGTTCTTGCTCTTTGATTGTTGCAAGTATCATTCTTCTTCTTCTTATTATTATTGATTTATAATTTGTAATTTTATTATTATTTGATGGGAAAAATAACTGATGATTGATTATTGTTATAACTGGATTCTATTATTGTGTTTGCTGTAGTGTACACAAACAAGTTATATTGGGTTGGTTCATTTTAGTGATGAATAAAAGTGAGTGCAGATTTGAGAAGGGCAAGTGATGATTCTTACATTTTATATAAGTGGAGTAAGGAGCACTAAAGCAAACGGGCAGGGATTATTTTTACAAATTCTAAAAGGACTTTATCCACTGGAACATCGAATCATATCATGTCTGAGAGGTAGTGGCTGTCTTGTGATCGACAAGTGGAAAATATATGAATATATATGGATAGTGTATGTGCATATATATATATATATATATATATATATGGATATATATACTTGTAATATATGTATATATGTAAATTTTTCTTTTTTTTTAAAAGTCTTTTCAAATTTTCAAAGTTCAAGCGCATTTTCAATTTTTCAAAAATGTGTTAGAAATGGTGTTATTATATGTTTTGTTTAAATAATATTTTCTGTTATATAATAATATTATAATATTTGGTAATTATATATATTTGATATATAAATATAATATATAGATATATCTTTGTAGTTTGCAATGATAATATATAATATATTATTATATGTATGTAATAGGTATGAATGTATGAATGGAAGTATGTATGTATATATTTTTATAGAGATGTAGACGTAAGAAGACAATTGATGGAGGAAAGTGTAGTGTTTTATTTCATTTACTCTTCTATTTATAGGATCAATTAGCCGATTTAAATCGCCTTAACTGAATGGCTGAAAGCTGGCCAATTGTTTCTCCAATTACAAATTAATACATAGTTAACTTGCATGCATCCATATCGTTATATATGTGTATGTTACATATATTACAACACTCCCCCTTGGATGTTTCTATACAAAGAATATGTCTTGTTAAAATCTTGTTATGAAAAAACCCTGTGGGAAAAATCATAGTGAAGGAAAAAGAGTACATCATTCTTGTATTAATGTGCTCCCCTGTTTTGGACTTTCTTTGATATCTTCATCCGACGCATTCCAATTCCTTGCACCAATTTGTTGAATGTTGCAGTCGGTAGCGCCTTCGTAAATAAATCTGCAAAATTTTCAGACGATCGAATTTGTTGCACACTAATTTCACCATTTTTTTTAAGATCATGAGCGAAAAGGAATTTCGGAAATATGTACTTTGTCCGATCGCCTTTGATATATCCCCTTTAATTGGGCTATATAAGCTGCATTATCTTCAAAAAGTATTGTAAGGGGTAATATATAATCAGAAATCAAACCACAATTTTTTTGAATATGGGTGAGTCATATATCTCAACCAAATGCATTCACGACTAGTTTCGTGAATTACTAAAACCTCAACATAGTTTGAAGAAGTAGCTGTTATTGTCTGTTTATACTATCTGGTATTTGAACAATTGGTCCTGAAGACCTCTATTTTGTTTAATGAGTCAAACTCTGATTGAATCGCATGTTCCCATTTTAGCCAGTCATTTTTTTGCCGATATTCATGAACTGATTTGGGCTTTGGATCCTCATTCTCTTCCATTATATCAAGTGTTAAACTGTATGCGAAAATATTATCAATAATTGTCTCTTTACGGTTCCAACATTTTCTTAAAGTAACATAGTTAATTGAGTTTTCAATAATCTCATCATGTTCTTCAAGTTTGTGCTATTCCGAATCAATTATTTCAGGGTTGACTTCCTCATTAGATTGAGGTTTATCAATGTCATTCCTGATATTTTCATAATTATCATAATTAATTCTTCTTTTCTTTCGAAGATGTTTGTCTTTGGAATCGAGTGGTCTACCACGCTTTAAGCGTGTCGCGGATTCATTAGTGTAGGCATTAAAAATTAAATGTCTAAATTAAATTAAATATCATGTATTTTGGAAGAAAATAAAATTCCAATAAAATAAATATATGATATTTAATTATGCACATATGTTAATATTTGTACAATAAATATCAACCATTAATGCAAAAATCTGCTAAAAATAGAATATATCATACAAATATTACGTGCATAAATAGAACCATGATAAATTTGGCAGCAAAATAAATTAATCTTGTCAATTAAGGAAGTATATAAATTAATATATTCCAAAAAAGGAAATAATATAAAGATCTTGACAAGATAGGAAGGCGCACAATCAAATCCTTCAAGAATGGAAAATGACATCTGATGAAAAATAAAGGATTATAAAATCTTCCTATTGGCCAATCAGGACGCGCCACATGGCACTATCCGAAAAGGAAGCCAAGGCCACCCTCCTCTATAAATAGAAGTCTTGGTCAATTCATTACACACCAAAGTTCATTTGAAGACTCGCGCAAGGGTAAATCTCTCTAGACTCTCTGCAATATTTTTCATTATTCTTCGTGTCCTTCAAAGCGTTATTCGTTGAAAAGTTACGATTTGGACAAATTATCCAATATTGGTTGACGAATCTAGAGCTGACAATGGGTCGATTCGTGTCGGGTTCGTGTCGGGTTGAATACTTTAAACGGGTAAAATTACTCAACCCTAACCCAACCCGTTTATTATCGTGTTGGGTTCGTGTTGACCCGTTTATTATCGTGTCGGGTTCGAGTTGACTCGTATTGACCCGTATACATAATTAAGTCGAATTTCTTGATTCAAATTAAATAATTTTTTGTTGTGTTGTCGTGTTATGTTAGTTTTTATTGGTTTGAGCATAAATTAGGTTGAATTATTTAAAATTAAACTTAGTTTAAATTAATTTATGAGAAAATTAATAAATTATGATTATTTTACATATATAATAAATATATTAATATATTATAATCGGGTTGTCGTGTCGGGTTCGAGTTGAGAGTCTCAACCGTAACCCGACCCGTTTATTATCGTGTCGGGTTCGTGTCAACCCGTATACATAATCGGGTTGAAATCTTTGACCCAAACCCAATTATTTTGTGTCGGGTCGTGTCGAGTTATCGTGTCGGGTCAGTTTTTGCCAGCACTAGACGAATCGATGAAATTAACGTTATTCGTCGTATGCCCGAGCCGAAGGAAGGATCAAAGCTCCCAAAGCCATTGAGGAATCCATCAAAGCCAACGAAGAGCCTCCAAAGTCGCTCCCAAAGCTTCAAGATGTTCATCGGGTTCTTTATCAAAAGCGCAAACTCGACCCTCTTCAATCCAAAAGTCAAAGGGACACGTTGCCAAAAGCTTTATGGAGCACTAAATCTACCCCTCTTAAAGATCAAATTCCGTCGGATCATCCAAAAGAGACATCAATCCAAAGTCGACGATCAAAATCGCAAACACGAATACCAAAGCCCTCCAAAATCCAGAAAAGCTAAACCGAAGACCAAATCCCTTTCGGATCAAAGAAGTCATCCAAATCCAAGTTGAAAAATGAATCGACCCACATATATTTAAATTAAATATAATTTGTATGATTTTGTGTTTATAAAAATATAACACAATTTTTTTTTATCTACAGATTTTTGGCACGCCCAGTGGGACCTCTCTACCTTTCATCTCCCTTTTCGTCGAATTCTCAGCGATCAATGGCTTCCTACAAGATCAAGACTTCCAACGCTGTGTCGAAAGCTGCTGTTCTAGCCGCCGCCAGAGGAGTCGTTGCTACTACATCAAGAACCTCAAGTGCTTCAACGAATGCTGGAGTAATGACACAAAACATGGCTAAAAGAGCACTATCATTTTCCAAGGACGCACATCTGAAATCACAGAGCAAAACCCACTCTATGATGAGGACGAAAGTTTCAAGAGTACCTCCGCACCGGTCACCCCTCAAGAAGCTGCAACT